AAAGTGGAATTCTACCGGTATTCTCAATTTTAATCATCGGAATCAAGTTTTATGCAATAAAAACATCATATTAGGAATCAGCGTCCCGAACTACGTCGAATGATGTACTTTGTTAGTCTATCCGACTACTTTGATTTTTTTCGTCATCATATTTTTAATTTCTAATATGATGTTTTTATTGCATAAAACTTGATTCCGATGATTAAAATTGAGAATACCGGTAGAATTCCACTTTTTGCGCCTCTGATCTAGAAAATATGAACTTTCTCAACGACAAAGCACGATGGAAGAAAGAGAGGTATGTACTTTTAAAACTCGTTTAATGGCGGTTCTAATGAAGTGCAAAAATCGGCTCTATCTTTCCAAAGAAAAAACTAGATAGGTTTGCGAAATTGTTTCTGAGTTTTTTATGGAAGTCCAAGACTAATTGTTTTTTTCTTTTTCTATATTCGTATAATATATCATTCGATTCTGCTTTGTTCGAAGATCAAGAATATTATCTTATTTTTACAAAAGGACGTAATAAAAATGAGAAAAATCAATTTGAAGACCAAAAATGATCAATAACATATACGAAGCTTTTTCAATGTTGAATTTTTTTCTGATTGATGCACCCGACATTGAAAACTCAAATTGTGTTGGTAGATAGAGTTAAGTATCAGGCAATTTTTGACAAAGTTTGGCGGTGGTACTACATTTCTTTGACTTGCTACAGAAGTTTTAGTGAAACGTATGAAAAATGAAAATTTGAAATTTTACTCGAAAAATATTTTTTCTCAAACAACAACCGTATTCTTTTAATTCTTTTATCGCCAGTTTATATAAAAAAATCATATAGCAGAAAAGTACGCAATAAGATTAGCTCCCAACAAAGTCTACACTACAGCAACCAAAAAATCGATCCTGCAGAAGCAGAAATAATAGTGCATACACTAATCACGTATCAGACACTCCAGCGTCAACCTATCAAGTAACCTCATCTCTGTCCAAGCCACAGAAGCAATTGCCTGTCTACTGAAGCAGCGTCACCGACTCAACATTCTTAATCTATCGCAAAACGCAATATTAAACGAAGGAGCTCAAGCAATCGCTCACGCATTGAAACACAACCAGACTCTTGCCACTCTTAATCTAGAATCGACCGAAATATCTGACGAAGGAGTTGAAGCAATCGCTTATTCACTGAAACACAACGACAGTCTTATCACGCTTAATCTTACGAATAACTATATCTGTTTCGAGGGAGCTGCAACGATCGCTGATGCATTAAAACATAATAAAACTCTGACCACTCTTGTCGCTTCATCTAGCAGCAAACGAATCTGTCGAAGGAGTTCAAGCAATCGCTGATGCATAGAAACACAATCAGACTCTTGCCACTCTTAATCTAGGATCGAACCAAATATTTGACACATAGATGTCAGAATTTTGGCTAATTTGAAAACATATACTGTTGAAAGAGTATACGTGGTGTGCTTACCCGATCTGTCTATTCAAAGTTACTGATAAATGTAGACATGCATCCTTTGAAGACATTCATCCTTTCTAGTCATTCATGGCCTTAGAGATTGAACCATATAACTTATCGTGAAAGTTTTAAGCATTGTTCTTGATAGTTTATTAAAATCGTATAGGTTAAGGGATAAATGTTTATATTCTATTTCTTGAAAGTCACATTAGTTGGCGCATTTTGTAGAAATTCTAGAGAAAATTCTTGTATATTTAGATGTTGACAGTTCATTAATTGAAACAGTGTTAGATCGAATATAAGAGAGTTGTCCGATTTGTACAAGCTAATGGCGTTCTGAAATTGCCTTAGCAATGAGTTCTTTTGTTCGCAAATCTGACTATTAACAGAATTGACGTGCGGGTAAGTGTCCATATTGGGATCTTTAACACACATGGGTCTTTTATGGTTTATCTGGTGAACTCGATCTAGCAGTAGCAAACTGTTAGACACGAAATTTGAATTTCGTGCTTCATTGATCCTGTCTTTCGTTTCTTTTCCGTATCGATTATGAAAATATATGAATACGCTGCAGGCATTGTCATATAAAAATACCTGTGGGATGTTTTGAAGGTTTTCTATTTTTGATAACGTTTCGAATCAATGATAGAGCAGTGTTTTAACTCGCTCAAACAGATATAGTTCTAGATAATCGACAGGAATCTCACAATTCAACATTGTAAATAGCAGACCGTTGGATGTTCTTCGATGAGTTCCAGTTGTGCGCGAAACGTTACATTTTTTGGAATAGTAGCCGATTTCGTGGTTGTCTTGATCATTATTGGGTGTAGTCGACATTTTTGTTGATTCTAGATCCAGTGTAATGACGGATGAGGATTTTTTTGCAATAGCCTTTACCATTGGTTTTTCTTTTCCCGGACGGAGTGCGTCCACAGCCGATTTGCACTTCACTTTGAGAAATAAAAATACGAGATGTTTTTCCCAGAAATCCGGTACTCGCAAGGCCTATCGGCCCGTCTCATGCCGATATTCGGATTCAGCACTATTTTTTACCTATACTCCACTAGATTTCATTTTAAAAATGATTGGTCAGTTACATATGTTCCCCCATAAGCCTAGTGGAGTGACTGCCACTTTTGGTCATTTCTGACAAAAGTTTGATCATAGTACATCAACAAGCGTTTTCGAGGATAGGGGTCGGACAAGAAATCTACATGGGCAGTAAATTATACATTGAGGCGTTTCATATAGAATAATTGTTGCTCCTAGATATAGATAAAGGCATAGGTGTAAAACTGATATGTCCTTGCAGCATATGGGCTATTTAAATATGGGTAAAACCAAACCAGTTGATTTCGTAAGAAATGACGAGGGGACGATCCTTAATCTGCAGTTCCACTATATCATTAAACCAATACGAGTTTAATGTGCAATTCGCACAATCCCAGATCGGATACAAACACAATGCCAGTTTAATTTTCAACTCGCTGCGAATGTGAATTACCCATCTTGTGTCAATAAAAAATAAAACGATGCAAACTTGGGCTTTGAATCTGTGCGTAATGTATAGTTCAAAGGCAAAAGTTATTTTACAAAAGAATGTTCCATCAGCATCAATTCAAGTTCATGCGAATCACCAGACGGATGGGTGCAAGCAGCAATAGGTACTCAACACTGAAATATTTCAGTGGAAAATATGCTGTTCCAGTTTATTGTATAAAAGAGTCTTTGCAGACTCCTTTTCATATTAAGAGACATTTTGCCACTACATCAACCATAGTGCCAAAAGTCGGCCAAGTGAAATTTTTTGATCTATATATTTTTTTCTATTTTTGGATTCTATGATCAAAACTGGGGTTATGAAAAAATTTTAAGGTCGTTTGGACTTGATTTCGCCGAGGTATAGAATTTATAAAATTAGGTGTATCGAAGATTTTCAAAAAAGCGCCCTCCGTGATTTTTTGCCTATAACTTCGTCAAATTTTATCCGTTCTATTCGAATGACGTCTCATTCCAAAGTCCATCAAAAAATAAACAAAATCAGATGTTTCTAAACTTTTTCGACCAGGAACTGAATTTTTTAGAAGCCTACCATTTGAAAAATGACTAATTTTAAAAACAAAATTTTTTCAATAAAGCTTATTTTTCTCCGTCCAGTAGATTTCTCGCAAAATGTAAGTCAGTGCGTTTTGTAGAGCGCACAATTCTCTATATAATGAGCTATAAAACTTTCTTTCACAACCTCAGAAACATGTTGAAAAATTGCTTGCAATTATTACCATCAAAATATACATTTCCAAAGAGCAGTGATAATAATTATTTTTCTTTTTTCTTTTCGATACGAAGCAGTTTTTATAATACATAAGATTTAAATTTTGACGACAGACCAATCAGCAAAGTAGACTCTAGCACGATCCAATTGCTGATTAAGTTTCCTATACAATCCCCATTTCGGTCTAGCCCATTGGTCCCCCCCACTACCTTCTCTTAATGTTTGTGCTGTTTTATTTGTATATGAAAATAATTGATGACCATCTAGTGTTTTTAATTGATATTTTATTAAACCTTCTGTTGGTTTTACAGAATATTTAACAGTGGCCGAAGCAACTAACCATTTTCCCACCACTTGCTGCCAATTAATTTTATATAAAATTAAAATTTGACTTCCAGTTGGATTATATTGAACTTGAAATAACTGATGATTATTATTACCATTACCACTGAATGTAATCAACGGCAGACTCTCATCCTCATTCACCAGTTTTATTTGATGTATATGAAAAAAATCTTTTGTTAATTTTGTGTCTGGATCAATATAAAACTTCCAATTATATTCCAAAGTATCTTCTGGAAAACCTTTTAAATGATCGGATGAACTAGGGCCCACTTTAATTTCTAATCGTTGTCGATCATTATGACCACTGTAGAGTCCTGTTACCGTGACTTTTTCGTTACCATTTACCATACCATTACCATCGATGTGATTT